GGCGCGGCGGCGGCTGAAGCGCCCTCCCGGTGCCCGCAGGTCCCACGCAGCAGCAGGTGGAGAGCAGACTCGGAGAGCTCCTGAAATGCCGGCATCCCGCGCCGTCGACCCCGCAGCCCCCACGGGCGCAGCCGCCGGGACCCTGGCCCCTGTCGAGGTGAGACGCCTGACCCCGGCTGGAGACTGGCCCTCCCCTCCCCTCTCTTCCCTCTCCGGCCGCCGTGGGGCCTGGAGGGTGACCTTGAGGAAAGGTTAGCCACATGCTTCGGGCAGGCACGGAGGGGGCGGGGCGCGCCGACCCCGCACGCGTGTGCAGCTTAGCCTCCCCACCTTCGCGTTTCCGCCTCACCTGGCGCCTTGCTAGGTCGGAGGGGCCTGGGCCGGATACCCCTCCGAGCCCTGTGGTACCCCCGCGGACCCTAAGACGAGAGAAAGCCGACTGGCTCGGAGGGGCTCCAGGCGGCTGAGTCAGGTGCCCTGGCCGACCTTGGGCTGCGAGGGCCAAGGTTTGAGATGAGCTGCCGGGGATTCGCCCTGGAGGGCGGTAGCAAGGTGGCCCAGGAACTGGCTCTGGCCCTGGCCCACAGGAAGCCTACCTCTGCCCGCAGCGGGAGGCTGCCAACCCTGCGCTTGCAGAGCAGCTGGGGGAAACTGCACGTGGTTCCCTCTGGCCCTGCCAGGCCACTGCTCTCCTGCCCTTCACCCCAAACACCCTGGCTGGGTGCAGAGACCCCCCGCAGATGCTCAGGGGTTACTGGAGTTGTGGGTTTTCTACCTTTTCTGACCAATTTTGCTGTAGGAATCTCAGTCCAACCACTTACGCCTCCAAGTGACTGTGACCTGGAGGTCAGATCCCTCATCCTCCTAGGCTTAACCTTTAACTTTTTGGCTCAGGCCCTGGCCTCTGGTTTCACTTATTCTGTGCAAGTCCTGGGCCCAGGGCTTTGGACCAAGCCCACCCAGGCCTGAGGACTCCTGCCTCCTGCCTGTGGGTGGTTGGAGGCAGCAGACTTAGGGCCCGTGAGGCAGCGCTGAGGCAGCCTTGGTACAACTTCCCAAGTCGAGGACAGACAGCTTCCAAGGCTGGCCAGGAGGTTAGGGGCAGTGTGCTGTTCCCTTCCCCCTCATTATTTATGCCCCGCTCAAGATGCTACAGGTGTGTTGGGACCCTTCCAGGCTGAGGCCCTTCCCAGGGGCCTCCTGCAGGGAGCATGTTGACACTTTGAGGCTGGTCCTAGGGAAGAAAAGTTTCTAGGCCAGCCACAGGTGCCTCCTGGGAAGGGAGGTGAGTGGGACTTTGGGAAATACTACCCAGGACCGGGGCTGTGCTGTGACACTGCCCTGTGACATCAGACTTGGTCCTCACAGACACCCTACCTCCCAGGGGAGGGAACAAGGCATAGGCGTGTAGCCACCCTGGTCACCCAGTCAGGGAGCCTCCCACTCTTTTACCTGGAGAAACCCATTGCCTTCTTCTCCACAGCTCCTTTGCTGGGGAATGGGGAAGGCAGGGTGCATCTGTGGCAGGGTCAGGGTGCTGGGGAGAGAGGTGGGAAAAGTTGTGCAGAGCACTTAAGTTGCTGCAGCCAGCCAGGTCCCAGGGATTGGGGTGCTGGTGCTTGGCCCCACAGCCTGCCACAGTCCTGTGTGGTGCTGTGTCCTGCTAGCTGCAGAGGAGCTACTAGACAGGTCCCCTCTTCCTGCTGAGGTCACACCCCCTTCCCTAAGCTGCCCCCAGCAGGTCCTCCACAAGGGGGAGCCCCCACCCCAATTCCTGAACCTTCTCAGGGGACCACCCTCTAAAATCACTTCACCCAGACTTGCCCGCGAAGAAGGGAGTGCTTGGTGCACCACCAACGCTCAGGTTCTGGTTGGGTACAGGTCTGGGTGCCACTCAACAGGCCACACGAATCTGTACCTCTGATGAGCTCTCGCTCCCAGCGAGAGAAAGATGAACAGAGTCGATATAAACTCTCTGGGAGAAGATACCTGGGGCCATGTGACCACCTGATGGTGTGGGGAAAGATGGGCACATGGGCTGGTAGGGAAGGGGGCTTGGAAGCTCTACTGGGTTGTAGGCTTTGGGGTCAGATAAGCATACAGTTAAGTTCTGATACTGCCATCCAGCCACCACAGGTGACCTTGGAGAGGTCACTTTCCTGTTGAGCCCAGTTCCTGGGAGCCCAGTGGTCTACCTTGGTGGGTAGTGAAGCAAATTAAGTCAGAGAATGCCCCTCTTGGCACTGAGCAGGGACTGGGGTGCTGTGGGATGGGGCTAATAGTGTCCCTGGGAGCTGGCGCAGAACAGGGTGGGAGGTGGTGTTCCTCTGAAGGTGCACATAAGAGCCGTGCCCTTTCCCCTAGAGGGCTCGCAGAGTAGCCTTATGTAACTACCAGCCGGCGTTGGGCATGTGCCTGCCTGCTGGGGCCCCTTCTCAGCCCCCTCCAGGACACCATCTAGGTCCTTGTGATTCATAGCTCTTGGCCCTAAGTCTTCCTTTTTTCCCTTTTATGATCTCTGGTCTCCAAATTTTCCTAGAGTTCACGGCCTTGCAGGGATTGAGGGAGCAGGTGAGGGGCTGTCCCAGTTGAGGACAACTCAGGCCTGAGAGGAGCCCTGCCCCTCTACATTCTCTATGGCCACGACCCTGTCAGCCTGGAGCTGGTGGGACCGGTGCCCCTCAAGATGCTCCTCTTTATTTTAGTGCCCCTCTCAACTGAGGAGGAACCCCGAGCGGCGGTGGGGCACCTGAGCCCAGGATGGCGAGCAGGCCGGCGGGACCGCGAGTGCCTGGCGGAGTGGCACGTGCAGCCCAGGACTCCCGGCTCCCACCTCCTGCTGTAGGTGTGGGCCCTGTTCCCTCCATGGCCCTATCCCGAGCTTCATGTGTATAGGGCTGGGCCAGGTGCCACCAGCCAGGGCAGCCCATCAATGCCCTGGGCCTGGCTGGCTGGGATGGGCCCAGTGGCCACCTAGACATTGAATGCCCACCAGGCTTAGCTCCAGCACCCAGGACCATCTCCTCACTCAGCATTCCTGCCCCTGTGAGCAAGAGAATAGCCCCTTGTCTGGGGCCTGCAGGGATGGGCCAGGGTTGCAGTCACACCCTCCCCATTCAGGATGGCCCACTTTGCACTTGATGCTGTTGGGCCAGACCAGAGCTGTCCCTTGGGGCTCTTCCCTGCGGGGCCTGGGGCAGCCAGGAGAGGGAATGGCAAAGGCCACCAGCTTTTGCTTGGGAGCTTCCTCCCACATTGGGGGTGTCGTGAGATGGAGAGGCTTCTGTTGGGGAGAAAGGACCAAGAACTGTGCTTGGTGGGTGGGGTGGGGCCAGGTGACTCAGGGCAGAAC